GGAGAGGATCGTCTTGCTCCCATGTAGCACGGTGCTGGTTACAAAGGTTTGTGAGTGCCAGAGAGACTGGGGCCCTGGAACCCTGCTAAAAGCCCCCTTCCCCAAAAAGCCATCACAGCATCATGTCCCCAGCACAGTGGGTGCCCAACCTGTCTCTTCCCCATGTCACCCACTGTGAATGGGCAGGATGGAGGACCTGGGGCACCTCCGAGCCTGGGGCTTACACTTGACCCGGAGCTGGGAGGATGTCTGTGACTCCCCGACGGCGAAGGAGATGATGCCCGCATCCTGGCGAGTGACGTGCACCAGTACCAGGAGGTGCGTCCTGCCGAAGCTCTTCAGCACTGTGCGGGGTGACTCCCGCAGCTCCAGCCCATCCCGGCTCCAGCAGATCCCCTCCAATGCCTCCCGCGTCTCCACGCAGAAAACCGCGTTCTCCCCCTCCATCACATCCAGCTTCCGTGGCAGCCGCTTTGTGATCACCCCTACGGGAAGAGATGCGTGAGGGCTGGGGAGGGATGCTGAAGAGTGGGCTGGGCTCCCCAGGGTGGGACAGAGGAGGAGGAGAAGGTCCAGGAGAGGCAGCAGCAGGCACCACAGCCAAATAGTGGGAAGGTAGATGTAGGGGCAGTGGGGACCCTGGCAAGGAGGAGGATAGGAAGGCAAAGCCATACTGCTGGAGATTTGCCCCCGCACCTCGGACAGAAACTTCGGCAATGCTGCGCCCCTTGTCCTTCATCTGGCAGAGGTAGATGCCGTCGTCATCGGTGCGGGCGTCACGGATGGTCAGGCGCCGCAGCACGCCTCGCTCCTCCATCACGTACTTGTGGCTGGGCTGCAGCTCCCTGTCCTCCAGGTACCAGGCGGTGGGGATGGTCTCCAGCGGCACCTGGCACTCCAGCACAGCGTCCTCCCGCTCTGCCACTTCCACATCTGCCAGCTGCACCTGGAACCGCAGCCGGTGCTCTGCCACCAGGAGAGACAGACGCTGAGGGGGTGCGGAGGGCACGGCACCCACTGACAGCCCTTTGGCTCTCCCAGTTCACAAATGGTGCCAAGCTCTTGGCCCTTCTCTGCTGCTCCCATCTTCGGCCAGTGTGCGATGGGCACTGCCCTGGGAAGCACATCCCCCAGAGCAGGGGGAACCAGGGCACGGGCTGGGGACACCCAGCGATGCCCCAGCCCCTCAGCAGGGAGTTTTGGGGGGCACAGGAGCTTGCGCACCAGCAGACCAAAGCAGACGTCTCAGCGGAGGGGAGCAGCAGGGTGCAGGCAGGAGATGCACCAGGTGCCAGGTCACCCCAGCTGTGGGCTGTCCCCAGCTGGTAGGGCGGCACCGGGGGATGGGTTTCCCGCCGGTGCAGATGCTTGGAGCCGTGCCCTGCAGGGCTGCCTGCCAAAACCACTCAGGACTTCCAAAGGAATTTGTCACCAAGGCACTGTCCCCCGTCCCCGCAGGGGACACACGCAGCCCTCCAGAGACACCACCTCCGTGCTTGCAAGGAGAGAGGGGCACAGAGGGTGAGACAGCTCCCCGGGGGAGCCCAGCATCCCCTGCTTCCAACCCGGAGGACTCTGGGGTGACGCTGGCTGCACAGGGCAGGAGGGAGCCCAGGGATGCTGGGCTCACACAGACACATCCCTGCCAGACCCCCCCAGTGCCTG